AGGCGACCTATAGGGGCTGGGACGAGCAAGTGGGAGTGCAAGGGAGTCGTATGGTGTATGGTATAACGGCGGCAAGTGCTGAGCAATCCTGTGGGTAGCGGCGGTTATTTGTTATTTATCTCCGGACGGTCGCAAAGCCATTCCTGTAGTATAAATTGTACAAAGTAGCGTACAGAAAAACAAGTTTCGACTTCACCATCTCAGAGAATTAGCGTTACGATCTCAGCGACCCGAGAAGTTCGAAAGCGTCGAACCTAGCGAATTATAACCGATCCTAGCTTTGCCAATAGGCCTGACTCGTCAAGTGAATTATCTCCGCCATCGATTTAATTAGCTCCGGTGAGTCTCACATAGCGAAATAAAATTAACCAAGTTTCTCTAGCAATTTCTACTCCCGTGGGCCCGAACCTACACTCGGTTCCGTGGTTTGCGACTTTATTTGCGACTTTTCGGAGATAAATACTCCGGAGCGTCCACTAGTGTTTGTTTCAGGCGTCAAGGTTTTTGTTTTATTTTTCTAGGTCTTCCTACGGACTACCCTACGGCGTCTTACTCCTCCTTTCCCCCTTGAACTATTAAATACCCTTCAGTTGTCTCGGACCGCCTTCACCCATATCACGGGGTTTAGGTTTATTCCTTTTGGTCCTTGGTGATTGTTGTGTGTCAGTGCATATCACTGTGTTCGTGGAGACCATGGCACCAAGAATGTTGCTGTTGCCCGCTACATGGAGGAAGCCGTGGCGTAGGTCGAGGGTCATACATCTGGGGCTGGTCAGTCCCCTCGCCTACTTCTACTGTCAATGTCTCTGATCTCTCACCTGTATATACAGCAGGGCTCACAATACCCGTATCGAACGTCTGTGGTATGATGTCATACGGGGATACAATACAAAATGGAAGAATCTTTTTATTGACCTTGAACTCTACTATGGCTTGGACACCAAAAACCCTGCCCACATCTGGCTGCTCCACCTCCTTTTCCTCCCTTCCATCAATGCAGACACCCAGGATTGGGCTGAGGCTTGGAACAACCACACAATGTCTCTCGATGGTCAACGTGATCGCAGCCCTCACGATATGTTTTTCTTTGGACTCCTCCAGTATGGTGCAAGGGGTCTTGAGTCCATGGTTCATCCCATAGATGAGCCTCTCGCACCTGAGGATATCATGGCCTAAGCATCAACTGGGAAGATATGGACAATCCATGCCTAATGGAACACCTGCTTGTTAACAATGACCATGAATGGGACAAGCATAATCCATTCGCACCTCTATCTCAGCCAGACATGCTCTCCCACGTTGAGTGCCTCCCCCCCGACCCCCCCTTCCCAGATGACACAGCATCCCAGATCCTCTCCTCACTTGCCTCTCAGTTCGAACTCCTGGTTCGCAACATTCAGCTTTGTAAGATCCTATGGATCCAAGCTCTCTCTCTGGCACAGCAGCTCTACATGCACCCTCATGGCTAGACCCGAAGTCCTCATCCCTCATTTTCACCATCAAACAAAGTTATCAGTGCGTGCATGAAGATATGCCCCCCCTTTCCGAGAATAGTCATCTGGGCTACCTACAATCAACAGTGATTCTGATCTATTTTAGTCCTGTAGTTCGACTTTTGTAATCTTTTGCTACAATCTATGCACTCTCTGAATTCTGTCAATCTCTACCTGCGGGTAAGTCGCAGTACCTGAACCCCTTCACTGTGCACCAAAAACCCCTTCCTATAAGGTACCTCCTCCCCCACAAACTGTGCCAACTCGTAAACTGTCACATTGGGATATATCCCCTGCACTATCTGCCTCTCATCCAGCCACAAGAAGTCTGGTAGCCTAGAGGCATCATTGTATAGTGTTACCAATTTCGAAGCTAGCATACTGCACTGACCATGGATCTTCACTGCCATAGCTCCCGTCATCACTTGCTTCACTGTCCGAAAGTGTCTGATAACATGTTTCCCTGTCACATTTGGTGAGTTTGTCATCGGGAACCCTCTTTCAATATGACCCGACACCTACCATGGAATGTCACCTCCATCTTCCCCCACGCGTAACCCGACATCATTCCATACCTCTTCCACGTGATCATTGCGCCCATCCCAATGATGCTCTCCTTCACTCCCCCACATCCCCCCCCTTTGTCCACGGCCATAATGTTCTCCTGACCGAAGTCAGGAGAAAGCAGATTCTCAGGCAAGGCTTCTCCCTCTCCCCTGTGGTTGCTGAAAGCACTATCTTCATTCAGAATCCTGGGCACTATCATGCGCCAGACATCTTCTTGCGTATGTACAATGTTCTCTTGCCCGGGGATCCCTGTGAACCCCTCCAGAGTATTCACTCCGAGGTAATAAAAGGACCACAACCATGTCAAGTCCTCCATCTCCTCCGCCTCACTGAGGACTCGCATGCCATGATGAGGCCGAAATTCTGTGGGTTTCAACGTCCTCGTCATACATCAAAACACGGTAGGATAACAGAACGGTTTAAGCCCCGATCGCTGGCGGTTCTGTATTTGCATGAACACTATCAAGCTGAATTTGACCGCCTCGAGGATGTATGCAGCAGTCGCAATACCGCGTGGTCCCATTATCAGATTGAACTGTCTGCCCAACATATTGCTGCACATATTGGCATGCCATGGCCGGACTCTGGCGCTGCGCCATTGGTGATGTTGCAGGATGGACCCCTTGTTATGTATGCAGACATGGCTTGTGCATTTGGAAGGACTCTGGGTACCTTCAAGAATTTGCATACGTATGTATATACCTGTTGCGCTCCAAGGCCACACGAGGCGAGGAGATGAGTCGCAAGCTTCGTGACCTTCGCATGGCGCTGGAATGCATGCTGCAGGACAATCCACTGGTAAGGCAGCTGGATCAATCCATTATGCATACCACCCGGGCAGCTACAACTGCCCACAGATGGTAATAACTCGTCAGTTTCATTCCTTAAAAAGCACACTGTGTATAATATCTATGCATTGCCTACATCGCCATCTTATTTATTATGCCATCCAGCCCGGCTGCATCTGCCCTCCAATTTGGGAAATGGTGCCCCAGCCCGGCTGGTCTGCCATCCAAATTGGGACATGTGGCGGCAGCCCGGTTACACCACAAAGTCTGCTGTGCAGGTGCGGCTCGCGCCGGCGCCACGGGGTAATCCCACGGCCCCTCCCACCGCTTCGCACATGCCACGCATGTTATCTGAATAATGTATGCATGGTGCACCCACATCAGCTGTGTCGCAGATGTGAATGCAGCTGAGGAACAGCAACTTCATTATTCTGATTTATTCTTCTATTATTTGTTCCTTCATCTGCTCATTCAGGAGCCACAACAGATGTGAACATGTATTGTATATATTTCACTACTATATGGTACACAATACAAGAGACATGACATCCACTGGTAACTACCTTCAATGTCCCTGAGTCACACTGCCAGAAGTACAATCCTTTCCCCAGTGCTCCATGTGTCTACTCCATATCTGCAAGAGCACACATCAACATGAAGCTAATATGAGACCAAAATTAACATACAGCCACACCCTGGTTATTGCTCCCAATGCCGGAGAGCCCACACATTACAGAGCTAGTCTGGGTAAAGGAACCATTGTTATCAGGCAATATACAAGCACGATGTAGCATAACTCAGTGAACATACCTCGCAAACCACACAATCTCCAAAACATCTGATAGTCCCACCCACCGCTGAGTACCACCCCTGTTGAGCATGAAATTACACCTTATAGCACACCAGGACAGGAGCTTACCTAGAGAACCTTGAGCGACGAGATAGTCGACGTGTCGAAAATGCGGCCACGACGATGAATGCGATGAGCACAAACAGCGATTTGCCGTGGGCGCCAATGGAGAGGGAAGGATAGACCCTCGCTGGCAGTCCTAGGCGAGACACGGGAACGCGCTCAGGTGTATCATTCGTGACAGCACGAGAGTGAGAGGCGAAGTTCAAGTTGGAGAGCAGGAGAACGTACGAAAATGACGCAAGTCAACGGATTGAACCATCATGTGACTGTGTCTCACGAGCCACAGGGCGATCTGCAACGCAGGCGGGCAGTTCTGCTGCACCGCACATCGACTGCTGCCGGGACCCAGTCGGTCGGTGCCGTGTATATCGGAAACCTGTTCCATCTGCTCGACAGCCGATATGCACGGAGTGTCCCAGAATCAGTCCCATGCAAGCCCTATTCCGGAGACTTACGGGTTACAGCCGACCAGCCGCTGCTTCTCTGATGGGAGCCAGTCGTGTGACCCAGAAGTGGCTTCCAGCTGTCACACGCCTTCGCGAGACTTGGTGGTGTACTCCCAGCAAGAGATGATGGGGATACGAGACAAGCAGCCGGACTTCAGGGTACCTTGTCATGCCTGAGAAGTTTCTAATTACGGGTGTACGGCTTGAGCGCTCTGTTACGACCCTATGTCCCACTTGGTGAAGTGTGCTAGTAGACATTTGTGGAACTAAGATGCTGGCAGATGGATGACTAGACAGATTCACTCTTTGGAGAAGCAATACCTGCACAGGCTTCGAATTTCCCGTACGCTCCGGTCGACCCAAGGATCCATGATACGATACCATGCTCTCAAATAATATAAGGCGTCCTACACGATAGCAACACCTGGAACCATAGATACACCACAACAAGTTGGATACAGCATGAATACCTACCAGTTACCCGCACACCAGAAATAGAGAAACCTTAGTCAAGAGCGATCGCAATACTGTCCCTGTGCCTCCGGCCCAGTCCACAATAGCGCTAGTCAAAGATAGCGGGAAGGCGATCCTTGATTTTACCCCCCGCCGAAGCGTGCACACCTGGTGCCTTCAGTACCGCGTCCTGGGTGGCCGCACCCTCCGTGACCGCACTCTCCGCAGCTGCATCCCCGGCCTCGCGATTACGGGCGCGTTTCGCAGAGTTGTCGTTCCTATCATTGCCTTTTCGCTTTCGCTTGCTCTTACTTCCGGAAGCCGGGTGAGAGACAGTTCCGATCCTGAGGTTCGCTGCGGTGTCTTGGGCAACACGCTTCTTCGAGAGAGGAATGCGATGGAACGCTGTTGCGCTGTCATCCGGTTCCGGCCAGCTATCGGAATCCAGAGCTTCACGGAAAGTCTCCTTGATGTATCGGTAGGTCTTGAGCTTGTGGACCTTCTCAGGATCCGTAGCAAGGTAGTCCTCGCAAACCCATTCATCGTAGTAGTGGGTCGCCACGAGTCTAGCGAGACGGTAGATACACCTAGTCACTGGTATGTTGATTGATGATTCTTCGAGTTCTCCGGCTTTCTTCGCGTCGTAAACCTCGCTGCTATCGTGGTTGCCGCGCAGAATTTTGATATTATTCACGTGTACTCGGATAAACTCTTTTCTCCAAGCGATATCGGCGCCACAGAAGATGCGCTTGATCCATTCCACCGACAACGTATGGGGCCTGTGATGGATGAAAAGGTATGTGGTGGACCAGAAGAATGATTCCAAGTCATTCCACGTCGCGTGAGCAGGTACAACCTGTCCTTGTTCCCGCACTCGGGCAACGGATAGGAACTGCACAGTTCCCTGAAAGACATCCCTCATTAGTAGTGAGACCATACTGCTTGAACCAGATCAGCGTGCTTACCGTAATTTCCCGCAAATCTCCATCACTGCCAGGTTCACCAACCACCGTGGCATATTCCATATCAATGAGAAAACCTTTGCAATTTTCCATGTCGGGATAAGCACTAATCATGATGTTGTTAATGCTGATATCCCGGTGGAGAATTTTCTTCTCGCCCATCCTCTCATGGCCTGACGCTCCCATAAGCCATAGAGGGATGACAAGGAAACGAGGGTACTCACCTAGAAGACTATCATAGATCGCCTCCATCGCTTCACGAGTGGAAGAGAAGCGACTCAGTGGGATACCAACGGAATCAAGGACGCAGCGATGGTGGACGCGCGGAGGATACTTGCGAGGTCCGTAGTGCTTATTAAGAAGGTGAGCAATCGTCCGATGCATTCCGCTATCCGGGTCGGGAGGGTCAATCAGATCCACGTCGCTGCGCAGCCTTGCTACACCCGGAACAGGCCCCTCAGCATGGATGATCTTGTATATTTCACCCTCGAGCCTGCGAGACGGGTCGCGCCAAGAGTCTTTGATGATAACAAAATGATCCTCGTTACTGCGTTCCGGATTTTCTACAGTGCCTGGGACAGGGAATGCGAGCCAGGTACACGTCCCTCGGCCGAGCATAGCCGTCGAGGTAAAGAGCGGCGGGCCCACGGTGATGTACTGCTCCACTTTATCGTCAGACTTTGACGGTACCGTGATCGTACTGCTCTGCGCCACCAGGGTGTTGTCGTCCAGCATCTCGGCCTCCTCCGAAATTAGTCGCTTCTCCCTCGCCTTCTTGATCTTTTCCCGAAGGAGCTCGACGTGGCTGTATGGGCGCGACTCGAAATTTATCGTAGGGTCGACGCCGCTACCACAGTACCCTTGGGCACCGAATCCCGCCAGAAACTGCCAAAACGGTTCGAGGTCCTGCTTGTAGTCGAAATAGTCGGATATGAGCACCGAGGAACGATCCCACCGAAAGAACCTAGCACGACTGCCAAAGATCCCAATCCCGCACAAAAAGCAGCGAGGCCGGCGCTTGAAAGAGACGGTGGCATAGTAGGAGAATTGATCCCAGACCCCTGTTTGGTATTCATGAGGAGTGTCTGGCCTCGACTCGTCCGTAGTATTGTAAAACGGATCTTGCCTATCGGTTGGCTTGACTTCGACGAATGCTAATGCACATGGCCAAGAGCTGTCCTTCCCCTTCGAGAGAACAACCAGGTCTGGCGTCCCAGGATCCTTGGTGTCTTGGGAGTGATTGACGACCTCAAATTTGATGGGAGGGTTCTCTGTCCAAAGAGACGAGCACATCTTATTCAGCGCTTCCTTCTGCAGGAGGGACTATGGGTCAGTGCTAACGCGTCAAAAAACCATTTCATTGCGTACTAGGGGTTCATACATCTCAAGTTCAACCCCGTCCCCCGTCGGCACGCTCTGCAACTTCGCTGAGACATCGGTCTGAGCGTTCGGGGATATTGCCTGCGAGGCATTCTCGAACACGTTCTCAAATTGACGTTGAAACGTTATGCGGAAGAAGTCGGTCATGGAAACAGGTCCGACCCGTAGCCTTGAGGCCTCACTTCCGGCTTCTGTCCGTAGCGTGCTGATGGGGAGAGTCTGGCTCTGAAATTTCCGCGTACAGGACAGCGGTCGTTCGGATCGGAGGGATGCCGGAGTATTGAATAGTACAGGAGCATTATTTTTGGCAGGTGGTGTATGAGGACGTTCAACGTCGTCGGCAGAGTCGCCAGCGGCCGGTGTGGCATTGACATCCGCCAGAGCAGATGTGCCCGGTATTGGCACCACGACATCATCCAGCGGTGGCAAGTACGGGGACACAGGCAGAGGAGTATCAGGAGGTGGTGTTGCAGCAGGTTCAGACATTGGTGCAAGTGTCAGAAAGGAAAGAGGGACGAAAGGCAACGGCCACCCACCGAGCTTGTTAAATCGTTGGAGTTTGAAGTCCGCTGTTCATTGTCCATTGTACTGAATGCTTCTATGTGGCCTTACAGCACACGTGTTGATCAGCGTCGCTACCAATCGTGGTGCGCGAGGAACGCGTGTTGTGGCAAGAGACTAGACGAATTTCTCACGTTGCCGCGGTCGAAGACGGCACGTGACAAGTGTGACCGTGACTCGTGTTCCCTCACCGGTGTCTCTCCTCTGGATTACGCCCTAGCAGCAGCCCTCGAGGGTGGATGATAGTAGTCGTTCACACTGAAACTGAGTCAGTGGTCATGGGGGAAGTGACCCTCTTTTCCGTTATGGTCCCTAATTTCCTGCGCTGACCATGGAAGAACTCACGTGGAACCTACCATTTTGTGTATGATTTTTCGTCCCAGAGTTGTCCAACAGAAATGGAACAATGCTGCTTCTTACGCGAGCAAAATATAACCCTTGCACCGAACATGATCTGTATTAATCATCGTTCGTCGGTCGTGCAACGCAACTCCATGAACAAAATTTTGATCCTTGTCTCATGCTTGTCCGGTGACTCAATCTGCGTATTGTACTCAGTGCCCCCAAGCCAGAAGGTAGATCCTACTGGTCCCGAACCGTCCAAAATGGCCTGCATTCCCTGCATTCATGCACACCAATTCGATCACCCAGATGTAGGAACTCAACTTCATTCCCTCTCATCCTCCTTGGCAGTCGCAAGCTTTGTTATATATATATCACTCCTTCACATCCTCCTCCACCGTCCGCACCGGCCCGACCAAACCTTTACCTCCCGAACGCCACCCACGCAAATGCCACGAGGAGCATCACAGCCCCGATCGCGAGGACAGCATAGTTCATGTTGATCGAATCCACCGGATAGGAGGTAGGCAGGATGAACAACACACTGATCACGAGAGCGGTGGATAACTGGCTTACCAGGGCGCTGGCAACGTTAATCGGCCAGGAATACCGGCTGAGAGAGAACGGTCCTCGCTCGGACAGCCTTAATGACGGGCCGCGTCAATACATTATTCCAATACATCTCAGAGCACTGCAAAAGCACGAGTCGAAGGTATCTCAGCATAACAGCTACGGCCACGGATGACAGAATGGCATTGAGCTACTAACATCGTCTGCTTCACGCAGCACGCCTGGGAAATAGCATTTCTTACCGCAACGGTGCAGCCGATGTACGCACAAGACATGATGCATCCAATCAGCATCGACGCCCACACGCCAAAGTATGGCGTCTGGTTCCTGTTCAGGGCCATAAACCGTCCTCGCATGGGTATTGTGTTACCCCTCGCAAGAGCATAAAACAACCGCGAGCTCGCCGTGAACGCCGTCACCGCCGCCATAAACTGGGCCGCGGCGTCAGCCTCTTCCCCACCGCGTCATGATACGATTGCGCGATGGGGATCGCGTACGACGTGCACTGGACGGAGGCGATGGACTGCACGGAGAAGAGGTGCTCGAGCATGTACGCGAGCCCGACGAGCCAGGAGCCGACGATGGAGAAGACAACGGCGGTTGGGGCAAGGAAGCCGGCGCTCTTCTTGGGCGACTTGCGCGGCGGTCACGCAGCCCTCGAGGGTGTAGACTGCTGGGAGGAAGCCGAGGAGGACCACGAACCCCCGGGAGCTCCAGACCGTGATCCTGAAATAACAGCGTTCAGTAATATACATAGGTGTTCCGGATCCCGGTCGCGATCGTACATCTACTTTCAAGTCTCAATTCAGCCGAGTTGTACGCGCGAGATTGATACACATACCATCCGGGTGAAATGGGAGCCATCCCGTACGTGCCTTTACAGGCGCTTTTACGAGGAGAGTTATCACAAGGACGAGCGTCTCTCCTGGCGTCCACCAGACATTGAAAAAACTCATCCCTCCGATCGCCTTCACGCGCCAAAGGTCGTCCCTTGACCGACTTCAGCGAGCAACGCGAGGTAAAGTGCTACGCTTGAATGTACAAGTGACGTGATCGTATCAATCTCCAAATGGGCCAGCGAGTAATATGGATACTTGCCTGAGATTCCCCGATGTCCCAGTAAAGACCATGGCGATGGATCAGATCCACCTGGTGCAAACTGGCAGCAATCAGACCGTGACGCTTGCGTGAAGCCAGATGTTACTTACAGCCAGGCGCAGGTATTGACAGGGATAAGCAGCGCGTCGCTGTTCTCGGGTGGGCGTTGGGGTTGTTCTGGGGGTAGAACGTGAGTGATTTGTTCTATGTTTGCGTTCCAGTGGTGGACGGGTGATGGGTATCGTGAATAGAAATAGATATGCAGTTTGTTTATCCTGCTCATGGCGCTGTGGCTGGCATAGATTCGTAGTGCACAGTGAGTGGTGTTGTGTTGGGTGCGTTTCTAGCCGCTGATTGAAACTTGCCCGGCAATTGGAAGCCTCTACTTCTGGGTGTGCAAGATGAAACCAGACAGATCCCGACCGCGCAGAACGATATCCCCAAGACTCCGAACAAGCTCATCTCCCGCCGGAACTCGCTCTTGTACCCCAGGTCGCGCAGGCGCTTGTCCGACTCATCCTCGACGTTCGGCCGCACCGGTTGCGGGGAGCGCAGGCTCTCCAGGGTCTTCGCGGTAGCGCACCTTCTCAAAGGACATTTCGGGCTCGATGTGGAGGACTCGGAGAGCACGGGAGGTAGACGCCGCTGGAGTGCATGATAAGGTCGGTAAAGGAATATATACAACACTGATGGGAGGACTGATCAGGGAACCCTAACCTTGTGACGTCCTCCAACGCTGCCACTCTCCGCGTGCGCAGCACTGTATGTCTTGCTCATTGGGGCCAGAAAACCGTATTGTACGCCATCCACAGAAGGTCGGGCTGATATTCGAGTGTTTTCCATATATTTCTGGGCGTGCAATCGCGTTTAAAGTCGGAGGGCCGCAGCGGCGCGTCGCTCACTTGCCACACTTGCTGGTTGCCTGTACGGATCGCCGACTACCGATGGCATCCCGGAGGTGGCTGCGTGCAATTGCACTTGCCACCGACGAGTCGATAAGAAGCCCCACTCATTCTATTCATAATCTTCAAGTAAGTAATTTTGCAAAGCAAGCAGGGCAGTGTATTGAAGTAAAGACGATCCTGCTAGACGTGCGAGACCACGCCGGTTTTTCAGACATACGGTGTGGGTCTATCGCGCTCACCGTATTCTCGGCGAGTGCAAGCCCTAACCGCACGACAACTTCTTTTCATTCATTATGAACAGATCCACCGCAATACGAGATTAAGATAAGTAAGTAGACAATCCGGTCAAACACATCCGAATATCCAATGCAATGCGGAACACAACACGATATTCTTCCACAGCGAGTGCACAAGCCCAGCGTACCGCGCGATGTGGTCTGCGGAGTAGCCGAGGGTGGCCACGACGTGCTACGCCGCCCGCTTCCTTGCATCGCGGGGGATCTGCGCGGCCGACTGGAGGATGCTCGGGACGAAGTGCGCCGGGAGGGGCTGCAGCGCGTTGAGCAGCGAGTCGAGGCGCTTCGTGTAAGTACAGGTAAGCGTGCAGGATCGCAAATGTGTTCGCGGAGGACACGGTGAACGGCACGATGGGGAGCATATGCGTCGCTCACGTGCCCTGCTGAAGTACAATGTCTGGAAAGGGGGGAGCTGTGTGGCAAAGGGATCTGCTTGCTACATCGCGCGACCTCCGGTGGTGCGCGCCAACACCTTGCCTTGCGACAAAGACTCAGCGGTAGATCCACTTCGTCTTATATTTCTTAGAATCATTTGTAGCTTAGCTGATCCCGAGATAGAAGTACTAGAAGACCCCACTGAGTACGTGTTCCATAGATTCTCATCTGGGTGACTTGCACGCTGCATCACCCCAGTATTATTGACTCCGTCTTGAATCTGAGATATGCCGTGATCCTTTGCTAGTCGGGAGTTTGCCAAAGTGACCTCCTCGGCTTCTTCCTTGCTGTCAACCATCGGTCCCTTCGTCGCATCTCACTACAAATTACATCCACCTCTCTGGAACGCCATGTATACTTCACCTGCCACAACCTATTATCCTCAAGCTTGCGCGATGACGCTCGACGAGAACAACTACTTTGATCGCGATAGCGTATGGGCCTGCTTTCTTGATGTGACATTTATGGTGGAAGAGGTAAATATACAATTCTCCTCCTCGTTGTACGCATTCTTGATACACTTCGCTTCTCAGCCATCACAATCCCAGAAAAAAGTCAACCGGACCTACTAATGGCTCGAGGGTAGGGAGTGTGGCACAAGTGACCAGCAGAGCATGGTACGTAGCTGGCCATTACTGCAATCGTACGTGAGGCGTCGATCAGACACCAATGGGCTAACTGAATACCCACAGCCCGCTTCGTGCTTGTGGTTGTTGCCTATGCCTGCTGTCTACGCTTGGACAGGCCTATCGTCCGCCCCGATCCGTCCTCGTGACTGCCACACCGGCTGACCTTGCCAGCGCCGATGCAGCCACATCATCGGTCCCACATTGTGTAAGTACTCGACGTTGGCCGGCGCGCTTGGTGAAGAGTAAAGTATCCTCTTACCTCTTTACGATGCGTAATTACTAAATGCTTTGGACAGAGACCGCAGAATGCATCCAAACCCATCAACATATGCGACACCACCACATGGACGACTCCCCTTGAATATGCCGAGGCACCCACACCATCCGCCCCTATGCCGCAGATTCCTCGATGGCCTGCCGATAGCACCGACCAGTCAGGGCGCATCAGAGTTCATCGGGGCATACCATACACCTATATCAGTGACATATACCAGCAACGCCAATAGCAACACACCATTAGTGTCATCCACGCCTCCGCTCTCAACGCATAGGCTGCGAGAGAGACAGAGGGAGGAGTTAGAAACGTTTGAGCCATATGCTACGCCCATATCAATGGCAACGTCTTGAGACACTGACGAGACTACACCATCGGTATTGTCTCCGCCAGGGAAGAACATAACTTTTGAAGGGTGGGCAAATGTAGGAATGGCCGATGTACTCGTTTATTCGTATCTACAGAAGTCATACGGAGCATAGAATCGGGTACGAGCTCCTACCTGCACGACGTTCCACCGTCAGGACTGACTATAGCTTCTTCTAGGGCTACAAAAGCCCAGAAAGGTATATAATGGGTGAAGACGCACCCATCGAAGCTTCCGATAACATCCCATGCCAGGAGGGGTACGACATCGCGACAGTGGTGGCAAGTTCGGAGCCCAAGACACGAAATACGCGAGTGAATCAAGTACGAACTCACATACATAATTTCCGGCTGTGTATTAATCGGCCTTCCTAGCTCTATGGGAAGCAGGCGGTGCCGCTGGCCAATCATGCCTTCAAGGTCTTGTTCTCTATGCCCATCCGAAAGTGGGGAGGTAATCTCACTACGTCGCGTGGGCAGCCTTCATAGGAGGCCCACGAGGTACGTGCTGACTTACGTATTGTATTCCCCGAGGTACTGACTTGCGCGTCTTACCAGCTGTACGTGTCGGCGACAGAACCGGGCCAAGTTTAACCCACACAACGGGTAGGGTCCACGCGCGATAGGCACGACTACCATATCCAACTCCCGGAGCTCCGACAGCCATTGACACCTGAAATGAGTCAATCGACGGCTTCCGGGAGCCGGACAATTAAGCTCACCGAATATTCGGAACAAGCAACTGAGCTACAGGCAGGCTCCTCAGCTCTCCCACAGTCGGTCATTGGATCATCAGCAAACAATGAATCTACTCCCCACGGCCCACAGTACGTATTCCTCTCGTACGAGCCATCACAGTCGACGGCAGAAAGGGCGGTGTGGGTTGGCGGGATCCCAGCGCCGAAAGAACGAAAAAGACCCCGAAAGCACCAAGCAACAGTCCCGAAGGGTACATCCAAGGACCTGCGGGTAGACCATCGAAAGAGGTATCGGTGGTGGAGAGGTGAAGAAGGGAGATAGATATAGTGTAGAAAGGAGGGATAGAAACGTAAATAGGATGGCGTCCATGTCCCGGACAGCCTTAGTATTGCAAGGTGTCGGATGAACATGCCATTCTACGCTCGGGCCGTCACGTAGGGTCAGGGTTGGAGAAAGACATCAAGAGTACATTATTCAGACAGGGACTCACGAGCCTGACAAGTCACTCATCCCAATGGTATCCGTCGTGGGCTCGCGCAACCATAAACAATGACACGTTCCTAACTCTTCGACGCAGGCAGTTCGGGGAGATGAATAAGATCGCTAAGTGCAATAGCAGTTTTATGGGATCCATTGCCATTGCCACATCATGTAAGCCCTGTAAACGACAGAGCAGGACACGAAGAACGTTCTGTCGATGACCGAAGAGGACGACAGAATGCAGAAAGACCCCAGACATCCCGGCTGATCGATGCTTGGTTTACCACGGAGTTCGATATACTCCTGAAGCGCCGTCTGGCGCCGGTAACTTATAATTACCCCTCCTTTGTTCAAGAAATTGATCTTGAGAACTTGCACTAACTTCAAGATGTTGTGGCTGCTACACGAGGTTGACAGATCATCGTAAGAAGAGCATTTCTACCATGTAAGATAATGCAAGTAATATAGAGGACCCAAGTTTTCCCCGGTTCTCTTTCAGTCAAGCTCCATCTAGGGACAGGTAGAATGTCCTGTGCTGGTGTATCCTATATAGTCTAAGAGATACTTAGCCCCTCTCCAAGAATGCCTTATGGTGCATGTCTGTTGCATGGACATCTGGCATCCATCTCACATCATAGTTTTATCTTACAGTCTGTTGCGCCTCATGATCATAAGCCATGGAATGACATGGATTTTCTTAATTCTACTTATTGGTAAATTGTCCATCACAGACTTATGTATGGCATGGAGACCCAGAAAACCAGAATGATTGAATACCCATGTTAGATGGAGTGCACAGACACTCGGATCCTTCTCAGGCCATGGCATACAACACTCAAAAATTTTGAGGTACAAGGATCTATGTTTAATACTATGCTCTCCCTATACCTCTAAGTCCTAGCTCACAATAGGCCATCATCTGTACCTTGTGGCATCCACAAACCAACACTATTTACATAGTTGAGAGGGACTTGAGTGTGAACATTGAGATGGATTCTCGACCATGGCCAGGTCCTTGTTCAGTAGTGGCGCCACTAGAGCCAAACAAGTGCGACGCAATTCAAGGGTGCCGGAACCCCTCCCAAAGGAGGGGCATCTATATATAGGTCTTTACCTGCCTTGTACGGTAAGCTGGTGTGGCAGTTTCTTACAATGCATCGCAGGTAGGGCTTCATTGCGAAATAGGGATCTCGTATTTTACTCAGACCTAGTACGGCATACGCGCATTGTGGAGGGCCCTGACCCGAGGGGACTAATTCGAGGGATTCGGGTGCCACACAGGATAACCTCCGGTCGTGATCTGGTTGTCCAAGGGCAGACGGCTTGTCGCAATGTCCTCAGCAATAGATCCCCTTCTCCACTACTTTATAAGACCCGATTGAATTTGTGCACTTAGCTCAGGGTAAAGCAGCCGTACTCGCCTACCCTAAGGTTAATAGGTTTTTATCCGGTAGCATGCCGCATCAAACCAGTTATAGTCTCTCTGAAACGACCACTCAGTAATTATGTCGTCAGTATGAATAGAGAACACAAGGTGCCATTGTACTCTGTGAGGTTATCCGAAATATTCGATTATTCCTCGAAAGTCGCGACCCTGCGAAAGTCCTCTCTTCGGCATCTTCCTTGCTCTCAAATGTCACTTCCTTTGTCGCGATCCTCTACGAGCTTCCACGTTAACTCTCTCTTTGACCAGTATGTTGGCTTCACGCGGACCACATTATCATTATCCTTCGCCGTACTCCACCACCCTAGACGGCGACAGCTGTGCCGATGGTGGCTGGACCTACTCTGGACATATGGACTATAATACGATAGAAGTTGTAAGCGTACCATTGCTCTATGATCTCCTACTCTCTCATTTCCCTTCGCCTCTCACCCACTACCACCCCAGATCCAGGCCACCTGCAATTACGAGGAGCGCATGGACCGTGTGTGTGGCTCGAGTGTCCGTCACAATATGGTATGAATTTATCTATTACGAACATGATACACGACGCGCTATTATCTACGTGAAACAACTGACTGAGTATCTACAGTACCCTATGCACCCCGAGGCACCCGGCACGCGTTCATTCGCCCGGCCTTCAACCTGTGCCACGCCCCACTGTGACTTCGACCGCTGGGATTGGAACACCCTTGCACACCGCGAGAATTGGCCGAAAGTTCAGGGTGCAAAACATTCAGAATACTCTACATTGGCTGATGCATTAGTAGAACGGGTTGTGGGCAACTTGAAGGTAAGACAGTTTATTCACATGGTGGCAATGTCGAGTACTGAATGCTTTGGCAGATCGATGAGCAACAACAA